ATAACATTGCAAATGTTCTTTCCTTAAAGGTTCAAAGAATTTAGGAATGAAGAAGATATATTACTTTGTGCAGTTTTCGATACCATTTTGTTGTACTCTTAACCAACAAAATGGTTCTAGTTATAATCTTAACCAAAACAATGGTAATTTTAATCAAAAGAATTGTAATGTTAACCTAAAAAAAATGTAATATTAACAAAAAAAAATGGTAATCTTAATCAATAGAATTGTAATTTTAACCAAACGAGTGGTAATATTAACCAAAAAACATGTAATGTTAACAAAAAAGATGTACACTTAACCAACAAAGTGTTAATATTAACCTAATCAATGGTAATGTTAACAAGAAAGTGGTAATGTAAACCAAAAAAAAGTGATAATATTAACCAAAAAAATGACAATATTAACCAATATAAACCAAAAAAGTTGTAATATTAACTTAAATAGTGGTAATGTTAACCCAAAAAGTGTTACTAAACCTAAACAATGGTAATGTTAACTAAAAAAGTGGTAATCTTAACTTAAATAGTCGTAATGTTAACCATAAAAATGGTACTTTTAACTAAAATAATGATAATGTTAACCAAAAAAGTGGTACTCTTAACCAAAANAAAAATGGTACTTTTAACTAAAATAATGATAATGTTAACCAAAAAAGTGGTACTCTTAACCAAAAAAATTGTAAAGTTAACCCAAAAAGCGGTACTCTTATCATAAATAGTGGTAATGTTAACAAAAAAAATGATAATATTATCAAAATCAGTGGTACTCTTAACCAAAATAATAGTAATGTTTACCAAAAAAGTGGTACTCTTAAACAAAATAGTGGTAATATTAACCCAAAAAGTGATACTCGTGACCCAAAAAAGGTAATGTTAACAAAAAAAATGGTACTCTTGAACTAAATAGTGGTAATATTAACTAAAAAAGTTGTAATATTATCCAAATTAGTGGTATTATTAACCAAAATAGTAGTAATGTTTACCAAAACGGTGGTACTCTTAACCAAAAAAGTTATAATCTTAGCATAAAATGTGGTAATGATAAGTCCAAAAAGTGGTAATCTTAGCATACAAAGTGGTAATGTTAATCCAAAAAGAGTTAATCCATAAAAGTGGTACTCTTAACCAAGAAAGTTGTAATCTTAGCATAAAAAGTGGTAATGTTAATCCAAAAAGTGTTAATCTATAAAAGTGGTACTCTTAACCAAGAAAGTTTTAATCTTAGCATAAAAAGCGGTAATGTTAATCTAAAAAGTGGTAATCTTAACTTAAACAGTGGTAATGTTAACCATAAAAGTGGTACTCTTAATCAAAATGGTAATCTTAACAAAAAAAGTGGTACTCTTGAACAAAAAAAAGGTAATGTTAACCAAAGTGATATTCTTAATCTAAACAGTGGTCTGACTTTTGTTTTTCTCCTTCTTCTTCGTCTTCTGAGTTTTTTTTTTTTTTTNACCCACCCCCAAGAACACACAAAGAACACCTCCCCCACCCAAACTCCCCTCTTACGCAGACCCTTTCCCCCCTCTTCCGTTCTGTGCAACCTGCCCCCCACAACTTAGCCAATTGGTGTTTTGAATGTTATATTTTTTTAAATAAGTTTGATAAGTTTTGTTATAGTTTGAATAAATGTTATAGTTTGGGTGTTTTAGATTTTGAAAAAACCTAAAATTTTGTTATGCATTTGTTGGTAATTAATTTGTTCATTTATATTATTATACTAGTAATTGCTTGTGTCTAATTGCTCGTGTCTTTAGACACAGAATAACGAAAAAATAAATTAAAACTGTTTGTAGTTTAGTGATTTCACTCAAAAACTGATATACAAGTGATTTCATTGGATAGCTGTGACGATGAAGCTATGAAAAATGTTTGACATGAAGGATTTAAGAGAAAGCAGAGAAGTAGAAGAAGAGCAGAGAAGCAGAACAAGAAGAACAGAACTAGGGTAAGGTGTTCAACACCGGTATATCAAATGGTGGTGGTGGGGTTAAAGAGGAATATGTATATAGGACCAAAGCCAAAGAGCGCAAAATGCTGGCGAATTTGAGCAGTTTTGCATAGGTCGCTGTGATGTTGGCTTTCAAAGCAAGAATGAGCAAGAAGAGCAGGAGAAGAAACAAAAACAAGAGGGAAAAGAAACAGAAACAAGAGGAGGAAGAAGCAGCAAAAGATTGAATCTGTAGGTTCAAATGCAATGGTATGTTCTGATACTAATATTTCAGGCATTATTTTTGCTGACTATGAATTCTAGATTGTAAGATTGAATCTCTCATTGATTGAGGTGTATGTAAGGTTTAAAATTGACAAAGAATAACATTGCAAATGTTCTTTCCTTAAAGGTTCAAAGAATTTAGGAATGAAGAAGGTATGTTACTTTCTGCAGTTTTCCATGTGGGATTTCATTCACATTTCCTCTTATTCTTTTTTTTGGGTGTTTAGGGTCTTATAGTGGCAGTATGAACTACATATCTACAATGGACAAGGTTGCCTCACTAAAGATTTTCCAGAGAAATATGTAGCAGAGGATCAAAGTTTAGTTATCTGTTTAATATGTGGCGATTCTGGGCACGATATGTTCTCATTTAGTAATGAGTATAATTCTGATTTGATAAATGATCAGAACAAAGGATTGGAGAGAGAATTTAGAGAAGAAGAAGAATAGGAAGAGGACAAAGTGTTGAACAACATTATATCAAATATTGGTTGTTGGGTTATAGAGGAACCAGAGAAAATGGCAGCAAATGAGAACTCAAAATCTGAAATACGAGTGATTTCACTGGATAGCAGTTGTGATGAAGCTGTGAAAAATGATTAGAATAATGGATCAGAGAGAGAGAGTAGAAAGGCAAAAGAAGATCAGAATGAGGGAAAGTTGTTCAACACTGTTATATCGAATGGTGGTGGTGGGGTTAAAGAGGAGTATGTATATAGGACTAAATCCAAAGAACGCAAAATGTTGGCGGATTTTAGCAGCTTCCCACAGCTCACTGCGATGTTGGCTTTCAGGGCAAGAATGAGGAAGAAGAGCAAGAGAGGAAATAGAAACAAGAAGAGGAAGAAGCAGCAAATGATACCTCTTTCTGTAGGTCCAAATGCAATGGTATGTTCTAATACTAATTTCACACATTTTTTTAAAGAACTATGGATTTCAGATTGTTAGATTGAATCTCTCATTTATTTGTGGGAATGTGAATTTATCTTTTTTGCCCCCCTCTCTCTCAAAACACACAACATTTTTAGTTGCAGAAGACAAATAGTTTTTTTTTAAGAAAATATAATCATTTGTCAAAGGAGGAAAAAAGAACAAAAAAAGGTTGCTTTATTTGTTTTAAATAGCATATGAAATCATTTTCTTTGAAATCATCTTTTGTTTACAGCGGCCTTTTGTAATCAACATCTAAAACTTTGCCTTGGTATAGGTGGAAGAAACTGGGAGGATAAGAAAAGTGTTGGAAACAAAAGCAGCTATGGTGTTTGAGAATGATGGGTCCCAGAGGCACCCAGTAAGTTTTAAAGATAATTTGTGCTCTCTCTATACGTATATGACTATGGAAGTGCACTGATTGAGGTGTAAGTAAGGTCATAACTTTGTTGAATTGCTTATCTAAAAGGTGTTAATATTGGATGAGATCAACTGTTAGTTCAAGGACATCAATGGATTAATTCAAAGACTTGGGTCAGATGATGTGGTCCAAGTAGCATATTGATATAGAATTCTAACTAATCTTGTCCTCTTTCTTTATGATTCAGGAATCTGCTAGCAGGTACATTAGGGGTGCTTGCTTAGGCGCAACAAATAGCTAATTGTAAGACCCTGTACTAAAATTAAATAAGAATACTAATATCTTAAGATTTTTCCAAATATGAATAAAATGAGGATAAAAACTTAGAATCATTGTTGAAATATTAATCATGAAGTTTGAGTTTCGAACGGATTGACTTTTGGGTCAAACTTAATTTTTTTTTTTTGATGTGTTTAAGATTGATAAGGGTAACTAAATAAATATATTAATTTTTTTTT